ACACAAAGGTTTCGGCCAGCTGAGCTGATAAACATGTGAAGGTGATTGCATGATGGAAATTCTCTATGTGCATGGAGTCAATAGAGGAAGACATTTGTCTGGGGTCTAAACCACAGTATCCTGAATGTACAGCCCCTTTTCTGCAAAGGTTTATCTGCGTACACCAAAAACACACAGCACCTGTGAGTATGTGTGCCCTTCCAATGAAGTCTGTACATTTCCTGAAAGATGTGGTTTTTACAGTAAGGGGGGGACCAACAATGAACAGCGGCTGGAACACAGCGTACCGTTTGAGAGCCGTGCTATGATGATGAATTGAGTTTGAAACAGGGATACATGTCAAAGCAAACAGAATTTGCATCTGTTTGCATTGAGATACATCACTTTTGACAGATCAGCCGCCTGCTAACAGTGCAGATGAATTCTCCGACAATCAAATGAAATGAAGTGTGACATAATGTGAGTTTTAAAGAATGTATTCTCTAATACTTCTGGAGAGTATTAACAGAACAAAACCACAACAACAACAAAAATAACAATAAAAAAAAGTTATTAGACATTCATTCTGATGTTTTAAGAAACGTTGTTCAAAATGTTTCAATACTGGTCAGTGTCTTTCAGATTTTGATCCTGCAGTCATTATAGAGAAATGATGACTCAGCATAATGTGAAAAATGCGCACTAGTATAACAATGAAGCATTGAAATGAATGTAAGTCCATCTATTTATTTAGTCATGTGGAGGATTATTTATGGAACTTACTTATTAAATAGTTCACCCAAAATGAGAAGTTGCTGTTAATTTACTCACCCTCAAGCAATTCAAGATAGGTGACTGTTTTCTTAAGTAGAACAGCCTCTCAGATGTTGCTGAATTCTTGATGAATCATAAAATGTAAGTCAATTTGAAAGTCAAAATAACATATTGCCTACAGGCAAAACAAAATTAATACCTGTGGCTGTTCTGGTGATATGAAGCATTATCCCTCAATGAATCAGGAGCAACAGTATTAATTTTGTTTTAAAGTGATGTGAAACGATCTAAGCAAGAAACTGAACATTATTTACAACATTATTACCTGTAATGTTCCAGAGAATCATAAAAGCAAGTGGAACAATAGTAAACCCTCTTTAACTTGTTTTAAAAATGAATTTAAGATTTATTTAGTACCCATTAAACACTTATCCAAAGATAATCAGTCCCTCTGTAAACTGTACAAAAACATGTATGAGTCTCTTTCTTTCTAATTTTTGTCTTTTTTTTGTCTAAAATTTATTTATTTATTTTTTTTCCTTGTAATTTGTAACCCCCTTAAATGTTTGAATTTTGCTTTTGATTATTGTATTAATTATGCAATTGTTTTTTCGTTTGTTTGTTTTTGTTCTATGAACCTATGTAAGCATTGGCGTATATGCACTGATATATGAATGGTTTAATTTTGTATGCATAGTATTGTTCCCTATTTGAGTTTGTAAATTGATACTAAAAAAAAAACAAAACAACTCTGAAGCGCGAGTTTCCTGTCGCATTATGACGTACGCGCGTGAGAAAGAGAAGTGTTCGTTGTATAAATAATTCGTATGTAACACGCAAGCAAAACACCAATAGTTTAAAGTTAACTACTGTAGTTGTGAATGTAAGATAAAAAAAAAGCAACACACGCGATCTCCCTCTCTGTTGTAAACAAACTGCGCCGATGTCACAGTTACGTCAATGCGCTAGCTGGAGGCAAAACAAAGTGAAAACTGGAGGCGGCCAATGCAAACCAGCACAGACTCGGCTACATAATAAGGAGCTTGAATTACTTTTATTATTATTAAATGTCATCTTATGTGTTGTTTGGTGCAAGTATGAATGAAAAATGAATATGCTGTATCTGGATTTTTTATTTCTTGAAAATATTCACATGATTAAAATCGCACCGTAATGACACTTTACATTGTCGTCTTCTCTGGCCTGGTTCGGCAGAACTGCGGATCATACACACAAGTCTTGTACAGGACCAATCAGCACTATTGTCGACTGTGTGTGTCTGACGTGATTTAACTGTTGTTCCATGAAAACACGGAAAGCTGTGAAGTGATAAATTAGGTTGTTTCTTCTTTGGGTTGACATAAACATCATAAAAAGGTAAGCAACAGGACGGACCGCTTTTAGTCTCCGCATATTTGTCCACCGACTGCACCTGTGCTAGTGGACTAGTGCTCATAGACATATACACTAGACCTCACCTTGGATACGGCACTTCATTAGAACGAATGCGTCAATAGAGCCGCCATCTTGAAACAGGGGAGCCCCTCCACTTTAATGCATCAGCGTCAATGTAGTAGACACAGGTCTAACGCAAATAAAATCACCATAAATCATCATGAATGCGATTTTTCTTGTTTTTTTGGTTTGTTCCAACGGTCAGACATGTATTTATCATTGATTCCAGAAAGAAAAAAAATTCTTTTTTTATTTTATTATTTTTTTTAAAAACATTCTTCCTAGTTCAGATTTCATCCGTGAACTTCATACCCAGACAGCAAACTGACATTGAATCAACGTGGAAACGACGTCTCTCATGACTGAAACAACGTTGATTTTGCTCATCGAATTAACGTTGAACCAACGTCAGACGCGGCATTCTTCAAAGCTAAATGAAAATCGAAAATTGGTTTGCTTTCATAACGTTGAAATAACGCGTTGATTTTAAGTTGATTTTCCGTTAGTTTTGAAAGAATGACGCGTCTGACGTTGGTTCAACGTTAATTCGATGAGCAAAACAATGTCAGATCAACGTTGTTTCGATGTCATATTTCCACGTTGATTCAATGTCAGTTTGCTATCTGGGTACGCTGCACAAAAGTCCGCCACCATCAATGAATTCGAAGTAGGCCTAAAGGCAGAGATAGCAGCGTTACCTAGCCACTTCCTATGACAAGACCCCTGTTCCAAGATGGCGGCGGTTTTGACGCATGCTTAGAACCCCCAGGTGAGGTCTAGTGTATAGTGCTAAGCACCGGTAAAAAGTTAACCCTACTTCCGGTCTCGGTCGCCATCTTGTGACAGAAAGCTCGCGCTCAAGAAGAACCGTCTGCAGAGGCTGTGGATTACTCAGGTAATAATGTTGTCAATAATGTTCAATTTCTTGTACATATCGGTCGTTTCGCTTCATAAGACCACAATGTATTTTAGAGAGCCATTGGTATTGATTTTGTTTTGCCTGTACGCTTTTTTTACTCTTAAAGTGACGGTAGCTGTTGGCTTGTTTAGACTTAGAGGGGTTTTCACCGACATCACATTCTGGGCGGTAACCCGGATGAGCCGCCATTATGGAGGCACTCGGATGTAAACAACAGCGTGGACTTCACTGTTTATGTACAACTGAACACATTTTTACACTAAAAAACACCGAAAAAACCCGTGGTAGGTGCGAAATCTTATAGAGAATGACTTATCAAGCAGGAGAGCGCGCAATATTTTGACAAACTAAAGTTAATGTGGTAAAGGTCCGAACGAGCTAGCTTCTCTAGCCCGTAATGCAATTCTTCCTTCTATTTCTTATTCTGACACAGGCTACTTTCAGATTGTCAGCCCAGAAAAGCACATGAAATCCGTTTAAAGCTGCATCAAGACGTCGTTTGAAATTCTAGGACATATGCCTCAGTCTGAATCACATATCCATGTTGTAAAAATGAAATAAGAAAACATCTCTATTGCAAACGCAAACCCCTCCATCAGTGTCAATGTCAGTACCTATTGCCCGACTGAGAGCTGCATGGAATCACAAATCGGATCTGAACAGTTGCGATAAATAGTTGTGGACATCATTTTAGATCAATTTCCAATCGGATACAAAGATAATAGGATTTGGACTAGCAGTGTGAATTTAGCCATAGTTAATACGTTAACATTTTAGCCACAGTCTAAGCTTCATTTACACACATGTGATGTGGCTGATGAGCTGATGCTGTGCCTCTCTCACCACAAACGCTGTATTGAAACTAAGTCATTCTTTAATCTCGTTTGCTTGAGAATTTTCCCTCACATCAAAGATAAATAAAGTGCAACCTTTTATCATTCTGTGCTGCAATTTGTTTTAAACTTAGCAACAAATAACATGGCTTTCTCTTTAAAAATGGATGACTAAATATATCATGTGACATTATTGAGAGATTTTATTCCCCCAGACTTCATCATTAGAGACATGTCACTGCATGGCTAACTGAGTCATGCTAAAGTTAGACAACTAAAATACTCAATAAATCCTTCCTCCTTAGGGCACGTGCAGTCATGTGACCACACACTGAGAGGTGATTGGCTGAATGCAAACTATGGAATTATGTCACAGTTTGTGCCAAGTGGAAGGTACCGTACTTTCCATGCTCTGCTGAAGAGCATTGATAGGCCACTCAGTTGAGGGAAGAGAGAGTTTCCAGATCTCACACAAACATAAAAAGGCTTTGTAAAATGTGTTGCAACATTGACCAAGAGTTTTTCCACGCAGGACAGGTTGCACCTAATCATCTCACCCATAAAAGACTTTCAATTATGTAACCCAATAATTGTTGTCAGGTTTGAAATGATCATCAATCTGACCAGTCATGACAAAATTCCTTTGGGAAAACATTTTTACAGTGCGCAGTTAGAACAATAAAGCATGCATGTATTTTAAAAATGAAAAGTAATCTTACTGTAGCATATGAAACATGCAGTTTGTGTTGCTTTAATCTTTTATTTTCTTAATTTTTATATGAAAGTTACGTGCAATATTACTAGATCTGCTTATGTTGGCTATAGTCATGTATACAAATTCATTATCATAGCATTGCTACCTTAATCTTCCATTTCATTTAAAGTGTATTTCACGATTTTATACTGGATTCATTTTAGTTGATACCAAAATCACTTTGCGTTTTATGTTGATCCAATTTTGTCAATAAAATACTTAGTCCATCCATCCATTTTTATTAAAATATGTGGATTAATGCTCATTAAAAGAGACCGAGTCTGTATTTAGAAAGTTGAAAAAAGCGGCTTTATTTACAGCGGTATTGCACAAATTAGCACAGAAAATTTCAGTGCAAAATACAAAAAGATGCATTCAACAAACAAACAAACAAACAAATAATAATTTTTAAAATTATCAATGTCATTGTGCTACAATGTACTGGGTCCTGGGTGGTGTCAGATCGGGCAATGCGGGTGTTCAGTGCAACAGGACTGAAGAGACTCAGTCAGAGGTCCAGTGAGAAATACACAGGTTGGCCTGAAATCCTTGGATTTCCCTCGGAAAAAAAAAGTTTGTTCTTAATGGGCTAAAGAACGGGAATGCTGCTAGAATCCTTCAGCAAAGGCAGAGAACCAAAACATGGAACATGACACAACAACACACAATGCCAGTAGAATTGAAAAACGAGGTCTTTGGTTTGAGTGGTAAACCTGAAACGGTAGACAAGCTAAACGTTATAATTTTGGCAAAGAGAAACAATCTAACTGATATACAAACAAATTCATATGATAACAGGGCCAAGTGGATTATCTAACCGACGGATATTTATTTCTTAAACTTTCAGCAATACCTTTCATGGTAGGTAGTCAACACATCTTATTTACTTAATTCTTTATATCTAAAAAACATCATTATTATACCAACATACTTGATGACTCGTCCTGAGCCTTGTGCATCATTGGTTACTGGAATACTGGGACAATGGTAAAAAAAAAAAAAAAAGTAAAGCCAGAAGAACCAATAAGCCAAAGTAAAGATGGAAGACCGGTTTGTTCAAGAAATCTACACAGGTGTATTTCCCTTAGTCCCTGAGGCTGGTTAAAGGCCAATTAGTCAAGCCAGTTTTGTAAGGCTGGTGGTGAACAGTGGTTGTAATGAGTGGGCAGTTAACTACAAGGGTTGAAAATTCATTCCCGAGTTTGGTGTAATAATAAAAAACCCTGCTCTATCACCATTGCGCTCTTAAACAAGGCACTTCAATGCAGTTTTTCAGAGAAATGACTAAATGATAAAAATCCACATAACCCCTTGACCTAAACTTAGGCATAAGCACAATCTGTTGGAACATTAATGGAATCATTAAAATGTCACTTTTGCTCTTGCTTCCCATCTCTAATTGAGAAGGGTATCTAACAAATCAAAATACCAAATGTGTTAAAATAACAAGAACGTCCGTGTTAGTTACACATACTCCCTAGTCTACCTTTGCCTGTCAAATGAGATTGATTTTTACTGGTATTCTCTTACATAAAATAATTAATAAACTGTTCTAGTACCTGAAGATGTTTGTCAGACCTTTTCACATGACTCAACTCTAAACACTATTGTAATGTGACACTTTGACCTTTGCATGAAAAGCATTGCAGACAGAGTACTGGCAAAGCGGAAAATAGTGAAAGTAAACAATAGGCTGAGTGCGTATTTGAGCCTATAACCGGAAAATTACGTATATTCACAAAACTTTAGTGCTCAGGATGCAAAGGTCAGCTGCAAAAAGGGTTAGAGTTGAAATTATTTGAATGTTAAATTATGGGGTGCGCGGTGACGTTAGCAAAATTTTGCAGGCAAAAAACGTTATGTTATTATAGTGTTGCGTACAGAGAAGTCACTTTCGAACCGAGCAGCTTTCTGTCAGTTAATGGAGTGAATTTGTATGACCAACGAAAAATATTTTGTCCTCGCACGAAACTCCTGAACATGTGGACTGGATTCCTATTGAAATGACTGGCTTTCGCCTGCAAAATGTGCAGAGAAATGGTAAATGTAACCGCACTATAAGGTTGCGCACTCTAGGGAAATAATCTTTTTTTATTTGTTGTCATTTGTACTTTGCTTCAGTGCAAAATTGTAGCAGAAGTTTCTGTCAAATGATTGCGTCAGCAGCAATGCATTGAGATGGGATAAAGTATATAGTAGTGCTTACTTGCCTTTAAGCAAAACAGTATGGACTACTGAGTGAATGTCATATCACATAATTAATATTCATGAGCCAATAATGTGTCCCTCCCCCTTGTACTAAAGAGGTCAAGAGATAATTCGGTGCTTCATAGAGGGAAATGTTGACGCGAGTCATGTGAAAAGGCCTTTCATTATTTGGCTCGGAAGCCAATGTCAAATCCACAAATTCATCGTGCAAACGTTTTTTTTTGATAAAATAGGTCTCTAAAATCTCTCTATATATGTGTTCGGTCATGTTTTCTCAAATTTCATTTTCTGTTATGGGATTATTATATCATATTTAATCTGATTTGTATAGACTACTCAGACCAAACGCAAGTGCAAACTTGGAGCCATTGAACACGTGAAGGAACCAATAAAGTCCACGCTTGACCGACTAACATCCACGTTCGTGAAATTATAAACAAGATGTACAAATTAAATACAGTAAAAAATAAATATAAAAGCCATGAAGGAAAAAGACAAGGTAAAAGGAGAGAGGGCAAACAGGCAATGAAGGCACGGTTTCTGTGGTGCAACAAAAACCTCCACGTTTAAGTCTTGTCAACACAGCATCTAATGGCTCAGCTTTCCATGTGAACGCAGGAAACTCTGCTGTGAGTCAGTTTATGGATGGCCGAGGGTTCCCAATTAATATATCCGTCCAGATCTGCACACATCCCGACAGGTCCGAAACTGTACGCCCAAACCCGGAGAGGTTGCGGAAGAGCAGCACTGCTGTTATCCCTTATTATTTACATATATATACACTCAGAAGAGGGAGGGGGGGTTGCATGATGCTACATCTTTGCAATACGTCTGCTGGGCATTCAATGTGTCAATCATCTTCTTCGCAGGAAAAACTGTACTAGACGTCCGATCAGGTCGTTCATCCACATGACGATGACGTGTTCATTGGGAGCGTGCAGCGGGGCCACGTTGTTCCCGCCTGGACCAGCCTGAAAGGATGAAAGAGAAACAAGGTATTTAAAAGACAATCAGAGGAATAGACAAATTGCAAATCAGAATAGAGGCAAACATTGGAAATGATAGACTGATGTCATGAAATTGCGTGTGTATGACACGCCAATTCGTATTTCCATTTTTGGCGTGCTATCAATCGCTTTTCAGCGTGTTTATGAACGCCGTTGACTTAACGTTACATTACTGTATATATAAATCTATGACCAACCCCCTCCCTAAACCTACCAGTCACTGTGGTTAACACCATTTATGAGTCTTCCCCTACCATCCTACGAAAAAAATATCGCTCCCCAGGTGTAGGTCTACATTTTGATTCGTTTCGCTCGGACATTTCACGGCGTGTACATACACGCGGAATCACTCCTGACATTAATGGCGTAGACATAGCCTGGATGCCAGCCCAAACTCCGCCCACAACATTTTTTGGACGGGAAGTTCGGTCTGGACTTGATCCATTGAGGAGTAATTATGATCGGTTCAGAAATCATCGGGCCAATCAAATTGCCAGGGCGGGCTTTATACGATGATTGACAGGTGGTCTTCAGTAACGTAATCCTCACGTCATCAAAGAGCAATAAAATAAATAATAAAATAAAATAAAATTCTGCTGTCGCGTCTTTTGTAAACAGAGAACTGCAATCAAGGCATTTGTCGATCGGAAAGATAATTTTGGCGTCCTTCCTACATGATTCGGGAAAAGTGTAACTTATCAGCTGGCTCTGACGGTCGTTAAGAAGATGGGACGTAATGAAAAGCCGGTGATCGTTGTGGTTTCTCCTTTGGTGGCATTCATGGAGAAGTAAGTAAAAGAAGTAACACTCGTTATTTAACTTCTAAAATAAATAAAGTAGGCTACGTTCTGTATTTGAAAACTGCGCTATGCAACGGAGTTGACTTATGCGTTGCTCTGATTGGTTGGTAGGTCTACCGACTATCCAATTGAGTGCAGAGGTTTTTTTTTGTCCTGGTTCGGTTACGACACGCCTCATAATCAAAGCCAATGGAGGAGTTTCAGACTCATATTCTTTCTTGAATATGAGTATGACGAAGTCAGGCTAGCGTAGACATACACGCATACACAAAATGCGTATAGATAACACTCTACTTGACTTGAAAGTGGCTTGTATGTTTGCGCAAAAGTCATGATGTCATGTTGGAAATGAGCATTTTAGCACTTCCGGTTCCATCGTCCTGAAGTCAGTGTTTTTTTTTTTAGGATTTTGCTTAAAGCAGCACTATACAGTTTTTTCCTCTTAACTGAATTGACCCATCGCTAAGCCACGCCCGAAAACCGCCACAGGCCAATCATGTCTTAGCAACCGTAACTATGCGCGGGGGGTCTGTCAAGCTTTCGAGCGAGGGAAACGTGCTGAAGCATTGTGCGTATAGATTGTGCAAATCTGATACCGGTATACTAAAAGTTTGGACGGGGGAGAGGAATTGTTTTCCTTCCAGAAAATCTAAAAGCCAAGGGGAGAAATGATTGGCGTGATGTAGCGTCTATGTGCGAGACCCATTCACAACTACTGGTAAATGTGGACATGCTTAACAAAAACACCTATTGCTTGGAAATATCGACGGTTCTTTGGTCATAATGATAACGTAAAATAAGACGATTAAAGAGACAAGACAAAGGCTCACTGACATACTTTAAAATATATTTCAGCATTTTGTTAATCGATGTCCTACTAACGGTATTAGTGTTATTCCACAAGATTTATTGATAAGCTGTTTGATTTATAATTATTAAGATTATTTTCACATACCCTGCTGTGTATGAACATAGCTGTTCCTCAATTTGTGTTTCCCATTTGAACGGTCAGCGTATGAGTCGCTGCTGCTTGCGCTGGGACTATAACGTTAGGCTTTAACTTCAATTTTTAAGAAATTATTCTCTAATCGGTTGCATATAATGTCGTGAATATATCCCTCGAATGCATACTGTAGTCCCTTTTGTCTTGCTCTCTCAGATATTTCACTTGTTCGCCGAAAATTACTAATTATCTCATTGAAATGTCTGATACCGGGTGCATCCACACTATAATAGATGGGCCAGCCGCGAAAGCTTGACAGGCGTAGCAACAGTAACTAGGGAGGGCGGGGCTTAGCGAAGGGTCAATAGCTTCAGAGTTATTGCAATGGTTATATGACTATTTTCGGGTTGACTGTTTGGCAACAGTTGCAACTTTGAGCCGCAGCATCAGGGAGTGTCGCGTGATATCAGTTCTCGCGATATAACGAATTGCTTTATGGCAAGAAAGATCTGCTAAAATGAGCATCAAGCAGCTCTTAAAGGGGCCGCACCTTATTTCCACTCGTTACAGCTTCCATCCTACTGAACAGGTACCGGTATTCAGGGGGATGGGATCAGGCCGTGAGTGCTATTTACGACAGTAAACTCTAGGGGTCACAGTTTGACAAAAACGTAAATCCTGCATAGTGTGGCTTTAAATGTCAGAAATAAAGCCTGTGGTGAACACGAGATGTTTTATTATATGACATAAAATACATCAGTAATACCCCCTTGAGATTTTTTAAAGCTTTTACGCGCAGTTCGAAAAAGGCGCTAGTTCGCTTTCACAGCCTCGTTGTGTTTATATTTGTGCTCTTGCAAACTATTCCAACTCACACTTTCAGGTCTGTTTATAGCCTACGTTTAGCTTTTCACTTCAGCGATTGTTTCATTTGTGAAGACAATCGTGATGAACAAAAGGTGTAAGAATCAAAAACGTTGAGCTCCAAATGGGAAAATCCTATTGGGTTTGTGTCGAGGTTGATGTTGGACACTTCAGCGCTCTATTGCGTTTGTTGGTATTTTTATAAAAGTGGTGTTTTAATAGCTGTGTTGTTGCTAAATTGGCATGCTGGAAGTATAGTACACTCACTCTTGATGTTGGATCTATCCTGTAAATTCAACACATTTGGTAAATGCTAAAATGATTTTTAGCAAAGGAGCGAAACGTTAAATGCTCCCTGACCCGTGTTGGGTAAGCTACTCTTAAAAAAGTAATTAATTACCTCTTCAACAGTGTAATTAGATTACTGTACTAATAACTCTCTCTAAAAAGTATTTAATTACTTTTAATTACTTTCAAAATCCCATATCAATCTCAACTAGCTGAATAATACAAGAATAGACAATTACAATTCTTTTAAATAAATACTATAAAATTGCATGAATTTTCCTTAAACAGACCACGGTGGAGAAGGTTACATTATAAAAACATACTTTTTAGCATCAGACAATACATTTTGATGTTAAACCCACTATTGTTTTATGTCTGATCTCATGACATTTCACATTTTCTTCATACATATTTTACAATAATTCATACGAATTTGCACGAGTGCGGTCATATTTAGACACCTCATTAAATGCATACGAATCGCTGTGAGATCGGATTGATCTATACACGGTATTTACCTCAATTACATCAGAAGTAACTGTAATTAAATTACAGATAAATTAAGAGTAATCCATTACTTTACATTTTCAAGGGAAAAGTAATTAATTACACCCAACACTGTCCCTGACAAACTGACCCTTGCCTAATGTAGATAGTCACATGCATATTAGTGCACGTATGCATGTTGAAATCTCATATCTGCTAATCTTTACAGTTAAGAGCCGCCCAGGTGAGTCCTTCAGCTTATATCGAGACACTGTGCACCATGTTGACACATAAAATACCATGTTGAGACCTTGATGCTTTGAAAGATTTACAGTATCTTTACGGCGATGAGATCTACAACAAACGCAATACAGGAACTAGCAGCTGACAGGTTATCCGGTGAGCTCCGAGTCGAGTTAGATTTGGCAGCGGTTGACCTAAACCAGGTGGCCTCTTTTTGGCCTGTATCTCAGCGCTCGCGTTCACCCGGCGTGCTGAATAACTGCGATAAGCAGCGGGGGCATTTCCCCCAGGAGACTGGCAGGAACTCGTGAGGAAACGCACTCCACAAGCCAGAAAAAGTGAGGAGAAAAAAAGCCTTTCCTGTAGAGAATGAAAGGAGGATGAAAAACACCAGGCCTGGGGCGTCCGCCTCACCTCCAAGATAAGAATCTCCAGACCAAACAATCATCAATTCTGGGAGAATCTCATAAAAAACATGTCTGTCGTATTTCACCCCACAATCCAAAGAAAAATATTTGATTATGTCAATGTTTTAGATGCAAAATTTAATGAAGGTTTGCGCTTGTCAATTTACTGGTATTTGCGCCATTATTTACCAACCCCCCAAAAAAGTATGTCTCAGACCAGACACTAATTTGCACTGCTCATATTAGTTTGTGGGGGTCAATATGAAAATGAAATGTGCTTAACTATTATGCTAATATTTGTGCATGCATAATATCATTTCTTCTGGTTTTGGGCTAATATGGCCCATTTTTGACCCATTTTGCTATCGCACACACGCGTACATTAATTAAATCACTAAATCAAGGCAGGTGTGTGTTTATGAACACAATGGGCCTGCAGCATGCGGTCTAAATCAACCCCTGTCATAAAACACTTTCTTTACAAACAAATGCAGAGAGTGGAAAAAAACGTTGAATTCAGTAAAAGCCCTGCCAAAAATCACAACGTGCCCAAGGAGGGATTGTGTATTCAGCCAGAGGAAACAGGTGAGGAGGAAGTGAACTGAAATGGAGGAAGATTTCACTCTGTGTGTGTGTGCGTGTGTGTGTGTGGTTATACGAGAAAATCATGAGTCAGTACAGTGACTGCAGTGCTCAAACTGAATGTACTTCAAAGAGAAAGACTTGTTTCAAATGCTGAATATTTTCACATGGCTTTCAACTTGAACATGAGTCAATGCTAGACCGTGCGATTTGATGACTTCCACAACAAAACAACTCCTGAGGTCATTGAGTTTAGTTCAACCAAATTCAAAGGGCATTTCAGAGAGGAAGCTATACCACAAACCTGAAGGAAATTTAATCTGCAATACTACGCTGACTATAATGGGGTTT